TCGCCATGGACCAGACCAGCCACAACGGCTCCATCGTTCCTCCCCAACCCCAGCCTGGCGCAACCTCGTGCCTCTTCAGTTGACTGCCATTCACGTGCCCTCCGTTCCGTCGTTTTCCATCCTCGTCTCCCACAAGCTTCTGCGCATTCGCTGTACCGACAACAGCGCCACTGCAATGTCGTGACGTCAGTGAGTTGAATGCTTCATTTCACGTCAAGTCCGGACTCAGCCGACGCTACAATCGAATGGAGCCGATTAAGCAGCACTAAAAGTGCGTCGTCACCGTGATCGTCGTCTTGGCGGCGCTCCGCCTCTTCATCTGTTTCGTAGCGGCACCGCATAGACAGTGTCCGCGTTACGTCGAGCAGTGAAAAAGCTGTGCATTCTCTGACCTCATCTGGTTAGCCTGAAGCGCCTTGACCGCGCCTGCGCATTCCCGCGGTCATTTGCCTGGATGGATAAATGAATGGTTGGATGGACGTTAATGGCTATACCCTTTGTAACGGGCGGTCACTTGTGCCACCTAGCCTAAGTCTTGAAAGATAAACGTATGATTCCTCAAAGAAAGGGTAAATAAAAACACAGGCGAGTTGGTGAAGAACTTCCAATTTTCTCCCCCTAACCATCACCAGGTTGTGTGGGATATCACCAGGATGATCATTAGGGGATCGAGCAAAAAAACTAAAAAAGCATCACATCATCATCAGAGTAAAGGGCGTGGCCCTTGAAATTCGAAAGCGTATTCGCGTTCAGCGTTGCGGTGTGTGTGTACTGGGGTCATTCGTCCCGCTAGAGTCGCTCGGAGCTCGGGTTCAATTGAGTCCCACACAGTGGTAAGCGTCAACAGAAACAACGTATCGCCAGTTTTTTTGTTTTAAATCCGCGCTGGAATATGTTTTTACGAATCGATTCTGTGTTGGAAGGTGAGGAAATTAACACGAGACGGCATTCACCACCGTCAGTAATTGCGAAAATTTACACGATAATTATATTGTTCGTGTATTGCTCTTCGTTTGCTGCTGAATGGAGTTGACCTACTGGGATTTATATTATAAGGGTTGTTATTTCCAACGCTCGGAGGGGATCTGCTTTCTAAATTTCCAGATCATTAATAAAAAAAAAATAAAAAAAAAAAGAAACTTAACGCCGACTGTGGCTCCGAATGTATTGCACAGCATTGTGCTCAGGCAAGCTGTTATTTATTAGAAAGTATGGTACTCCGCTACACAGGATGTCTATGCGAAGTGGCACTGGTTGGAGCCGCAGAGTGGCGCCATTATCTTTTTACACGCTTCCAGTATGATTGGCTTAATTGATTGTCACAATCCGCAACATCCAGAACTAGAAAATTAAGCTCAACTATATCCAGTTCAGTGGCCATATTTCTTTATAAGAAAAATATTCGTACTTAACATGTTTACAAACACAAGCCTCCTCTTGAATCTCATAAAACTTTGGTTGCTCCGTTTTGGCAGGCTCTCTAAACCTGTTTTGATGACAAGATTAGTGAGAAAATTAAGTTATGAAATCATCAAGTTAGGCGTTTATCTACGTCCTTATGTTTTTCAATAAAGAAAAAATAAAAGAGGGAATCGGTCGCCTTAAAAAAAAAAAAATACCCAACAAATCTTTTGCTAACCGGTCCGTTTGCCGGTCACCCGGAGAAGGGTCATAAAATACTTCATGAACGTTGACAGATGTACTCTGATAGGGACCGTTTGTCCTCATTTGACCGGAAGTTTGCGGAAACATAAATTGCCGAAAACGCCTCTTCGCGGCGCTTGAAAAAAAAAAAAAAGAAGAAAAAGTCTTTATCTGCATTTTAGAAGACCCCAATACATTTCTGACCGCCGTCTAATAGATATTTGGCAACTCTTTAAAGAATGATTTTGTTTTACCATGATCGAACTCCGTTAGAAATATGATGTTGTTTATATCTTAACGTTTCCAAATTGGTGGTCGGCTACAAATGTTTATTAAAGGCATAGGTATAGTTTAGCAAAGACGCACGCGTCTCCTTAAAATAATTTAATAGCTTCCGAGAACGGTTCGGTGAGTACATGCATTTATGCTTCGCTCAGAAAATAAATATAACAAAAAAAGCCATCGGCGCGTTTGTGATTTCATTTTTACCGAACAGGGACCGCTTGTTGCATTGGACAAATTGCTTCTTTGATGCATTTGTCTTTTACTCCCGTACATCAGCATCAGTGCAGCGTAAGATTGAGATGCAGTTTGGCGTGTTGGAATATATACTTACTTGGAACGGCGTGCAAAACAAGAAATAATGCCTTCTCATTTTATCTAATTAAACTTACATAAATGAAGTAATGGTAATTAATAATGTTTCTTTGGTTTCCGCGTAGACCAACGACCGAAGCCTCCACGTAAGTTCGTCGACCTCGATTCACGTTTTACACAAATTCCAGTTGTACAATTGACGTATTGCGTCATGAAGAGTGTAGGGGTAGTCAAATTTGGAGTAAACGCATATGACTTGCGCGTGACGTTATTTCACCCTGCTGTGGATTATTCCTACTTGTTCTTACCGGGAAAGCCAAAGTCGATGGTGTGAATGGTGTTCTGGAGAACAAAGGTGCTCAACAGAAATGATGCCAGAATGGCCTCTTGTGTTACATGAGTGCATGCCATGCATGAAATTGAGCTCCAGAACAGCTTGTATATGTCCGCCCACATTATGTACGAAAGAAAAGTAACAAGACGTTTACAAAAACCCGATGCGCTGATTCTTTTTTTCCCCACTACTTGGTAAGTCCAGTCTCAATATTATGCCAAAGGGTTGCTCCCATTCACTGTTAATTTGAGAATAACGACCACCTGATAGTAATAATTTTCTAATATATTTCTAAGGTGCTCTTTTTCCTCCAAAACTGCTGAAATTAAAAAAAAACTAGCATTATTATGTTTTTGCAGGCCATAAAAGTAAACATCGTCCAAAAAAGCACATCTGTTTTTTGTTTTGTCTAAAGGGCCGCTGAAACCCCTAGCATCGAATTGTATATTCGCAAATGACTGGAAACAGTCCCCGTCCTAAGATATTAGGCTCTGGAGCGGCCTGTTTGCGGAGAATAAAATAATAAAAAAGATAGATTCGAAACTCCGAAACGAATTAGTAACGCAGAGCAAAAGGGGGCACTCGATCACTGGGCGCCGTCTTCGCTGTTCAGCTGCACCTGTTTCTCTCTGCTTGCAGATGGCGTGTTTCTTTTTAGTTACAGTTCCTTTCTTTTTTTCAACAGTGCTCTGTCTAGTGGGTGTCCACCATTTTTTTAATTAATAAATAAATAGGCAAATTGCATGTTTCAAACTCCAGTGAGCGATTTGACAGCTCAAACTTCCTGATCACATTCGCCCGATCGTAATCAGAAAAGTTATCACGCACCGAAAAAAAAAAAAAAAATCAACTCCTCCGACCTGTGGCTGATTTCACAGTCAACCGCATCTTTCTTAACGTCCTCAGAACAACCGCGGAAAACCGCCATATTGAGAGTAATAAAAAATAATAGAAGTCTCTGAGTTATTATATTGTGATTTCAATGCCGCAGTGCGTTTACAATTTTCGTAAAATCATATTTGATCAATGCAATTGTTAATTTGTTTTATACATATAAATCTTAGAGTTTTTAAATCTATAAAAAATACCTTCGCCAACTACACCATAAAAATGAAAAAAAAAATGAAAAAGAGACGAGGTAGTACGTCTTTTCGCCGGTTTGGGGGAGGAGGAGGCCTAGCTTTGACCGGATCTTTGGCACCCTAAACAAAGCTCACCCGCAATTTCTTTGATAGTATCATCACGCGCTCTTGAAGCGCTTGAATCTATAACGAGTAGCAATGTATCGCATAAGTGGCATTTTCATATTCTAAATGGAAGCTATCGTACAATTTGGCAACATGGGTAATATCGTTCTAAAGGGTAAGAATGTCAACAACGCGTACGAGTTTTTTCTTTTGTAAATAACGTAGTCGTCAGCAAAAGGGTCAATAGAAGGGAACATACGGCTAGAAAGCTCGTTAACATAAATAAACAATAGAAGTGGACTCAGCACTAATCATTTTAAGACATCGGAGCTAACAATTTGGGATGGAGTAGCAGTTCTGTTGGAGCAGGCAAGTTGCAGTCTATTAGATGAAAAGGATTCTATCTAGGCGAGGAAGTTTGAATGTATGTTTAATGCTAGGACGTATATAAAGAAGGGCGTAGGGAGGTTCAGCAATGGATGTTCGGAAATGAAGAAAGAAAACTCGGTGCTGGAACTCCGGTCAAAAAGGGTGAAATGCATATTATAAGTAAAGGTAAACTGTTTAATTTCACATAATAAACAAACTTTTGAAAACCATAATGGGACGTGTTAAAAAAATTAATTACAATCTAGAAAGTTATTTGAGAGTTATTAGCGTGTTCAAAAAATTTGCGTTAAGGACAAGGAAAAAAAGCAATGGACATTATGATCATCGCCAGTTTTATGCAACCGCCACCTTGCAGTCCCGGTAGCGCCCCCTTTTCTGAGCGACTGAGAGAAACGTTTGCATGGGATAAGGTTAGAAATCATCTGTTTTTACTTTTCATTGTCATCAGCAACGCCTGCTGCAAACTTCATTTTAAAGTTTTTAATATTGTTAGAAATTTCTTATTATTTATATAGACAGGCTATAAAGGCATAAAATTCGCAAGCTGCAAATCAAAGCACATATTAAAAAAAGAAGGCACCAACAAAAATGTAGGACACTTCACAGCTCCAGAATTCTAGGAGAGTTCTGTAGCCCCAGGTAAGGGTAACACGTATTTTATTCGTCTCTTAAATGTCTTATTCTGTAACGATGAACATGTATGTAGCAGGAGCAGTTGTCTAAAAGTACAGATTGTCACAACTTTGGAGATCTGTTGAAGAAGTAGCGCTTGCGAAGTAAAATGCATACCTGTCTTTCATGCTTAGGATAATCTTTTCTTTTTCTAATAAAATCTGTGCCCCTTGCAGGTAACTTCACGCTGATCTGCTCATACGACTACCTCAGGCGACCACCAATGAAACCGGTGTTATGCACAGACTACGTGCACCTTCGCATGCACACCCCTAATCAGAGGGATTATCCGCAAAACTTTGTCTTCGAGGACAATCCATTGTGTAAGAATAATATAGAAATTAATCTCTTTTAACGGAAAAATCTTTATCGAGTAACAAGATCGCCATTTCAAGCATCAGGTGTTATCAGCCCAGACACCACGCGGTCCCTCAAGCACTAAGAGTTTGTTAAGACTAACTCCAATCTTGAAGGAAATTGTATGAACACCAATATAAACCCCTCCCTCTTTGCGACCACTATGTTCCGTTTTAGCCTAACTTGGCAGAGGGGGAAAGCTGCGCCTTCGGTGGGCCAATCGCGGCGTCAGAGCGAGGCACGCGACTTACGTGAGACCGTACTGCCTATGTTCACTCTTCGTGTAGAATAGCATCACGCGTCTTGCTCCCCCGCCCAAATAGACCCTTTCCAAAAGTCCATCGAGCAATATTGGCCGTCATCATTGCTTTTAGACTTAAGCGTGTTTCACATGCAGCGGTTTTGGCCCTAGAGCGGCGCGATTTCTTCTGTCGTGGCACTCTGGCCAGCACCAGCGGTTGAGCGGCACGAGCACCGCGACGGCAGAAATCGCGCCGCTCTAGGGCCAAAATCGCTCTATGTGAAACACGCTTCAGGCTAGGTGGTGCAAGCCACCGCCCATTTCAAAGAGTGAAGCCATTAACGTCCATCCATCCATCAGTCCATGCTCACAAAGCGCGTGGTTGGATCCGACTCCGCGCCTAACACTGACGGAGCTCTCGTGTCCAAAACATATTCAGAATATGTGAGCAAGCCCTGGCGGACAGGCACACACCAGATATATATATATATATATATATATATATATATATATATATATATATATATATATATATATATATATATATATATATATATATATATATAGTATATATATATATATATATTATATATATATATATATATATATATATATATATATATATATATATATATATATATATATATATAATATATATATATATATATATATATATATAATATATATATATATATATAATATATATATATATATATATATATATATATATATTATGTATATATATATGTATATATATATATATATATATATATATATATATAGTATATATATATATATATATATATATATATATATATATATATATATATATATATATATATATATATATATATATATATATATATATATATAATACACCGGACGAGACAAAGAGTGGGAAGGATTTCTGGAGCACAAACGAGCACGTACCACGTGACACTAAGCGTCGTACCGCGTTCCACACGGCGGCGTGTGTTTCCGGAACACCTCCGATTGGATACATTTCGTTTCTTGTGCATTAATAAGACAGGTAGGAAACGCCAGAAAGACCAAGGTGGAGTAGTTGCAGAGGTTAGCACACCCGACCGGACATTGGGGAGGCCCAGAGTTCAAATCCTGGCTCCGCCGTTTTTTTGGCTTTCGGCGGGTTCCTGAAAACCAGGGTTGGGCAGTATCGCGATACAAATGTATCGCGATAGTATTTCAGGAATACATTTCGTATCTGTATTTCTGTATCGCGATACATTTTTTTCAGCAGTATCTGTATTTCTGTATCGAAATACATTTTGAATGTTTCTTTGTATCGCGATACAATCAGGGTGAAATGTGTTTCGTTACATTTCTTGAGAAATACTCCTCCCCCCCCCCCCCCCCCCCCGAAAAAAAAAACCGAACACTTTTTTTTTTTACTTTTGAGGGCACCAGGGTCAAGGAGATGCTGGGGTATCGGTACCATGCTGAACGAAGGTTCCTTCCGATTCTCCAAAACTATTTTGCTATGCGTGCTCTTTTCTCTTCTGAGAACTGTTGTGCGGTCGGGGACTCGAACCAGGTGGTGTGCCAGGAGTGGAGTCAGAGCATCTTGCGCCGCAGGTCCTTAGGTAGGGTTTCTTGAGTCATTGTTTACCCGGCATCCAAAGCCCGCTGCTAACCGTCTCTCTTGCCTTAGCGTACACAGTAAACCCATTCGGCAAAGCTAAGTCACAGTCCGTTGCAGCACGAGCCTGGCGGTGGTTGACTTAAAATAGTAGGATGACTCGCGCAGTGAAGTTCAACAGATATTCGAATGCGTCTGCGGCTGCGCCCATAATATTGCACGGCTCAAGGGTACGTTATCAGCCGACGTGAAAGTGACCCGCTGCTTCCGGTGATCCGAAACTAGGAAAGAGGTCAGACGTGGCTTCGCTGTGCCGACCCAGACTTCGTACACCTGCGACTCGTCTCGAGCGCGCTGTTTCTCGGAGAGCTCACCTCTGCGGCAATATCAGGTCGCAATCCACGAGGTCTCTATTGGGAATATGGAAGGCGAACTTGATGACTGCAATCCATGCGTCGGTGGTGGAGGGTCAGAAGGGAAGGATCTTCACAACAAGGATGCCACCGTATTGTTTTTTCAACCGTAACAGAAGATAAGACATGTGTTCCAGGATGCTTCAGGTGGTCCTCACCATTCTCGAAAATCCTGCACGATCTTCAAAGAGGTAACCGACAACGAAAGTATGTATTGTCCTTTCATACGGCAGCGTGTTAAAGTTCCATGTTTCAAGGCCACACCTACAGAAAAAGAATACTAGTTTATTCCACCGTGACGTCATGTGATAAATGTTGATAGGGGTGTCCTTAGTTGACAGGGGCGTGATGATGGGGATTTAGGATGACAGAAAAATTTATTTAGAGGTCGAAGTCTTTTCGCATCCCTCGTCAGACAGACAGGATGTCAGGGAAGGGACCACGGTCAGTCCTTGATGGAACGTTTTTCTCAGCCCACTGAAGACACCTCGTCGTCCGAAATCACTACCTTCAAGGCAAAGTGCCAAGCCTACGGGAAAGTAATTTCAGGATCAAAAACTTCCACTTCCAACTTCAAGCTTCATCTAATTTGGTCTCAAATAAATGTGAAAATGTATTGCAGTATCAGTATTTCTGTATTTGTATTTTTGGCCTCCCTAAAATGTATTCCTGTATTTGTATTTCCATATACTTTTTGCCACTATTTAGAATGTATTTCCGATACGTATCGCGATACACTTTTACAGATATATTTCAGTATCAGTATTTTAGCTTCTATTTTAAAGTATCCCAGTATTTGTATTTCCAAATACATTTTTGAGTATTTCTGCCCAACCCTGCTGAAAACTTTGTTTCTTTCATTAATTGGATTAAGTACGGTTCATTCATCTGCACATATTCGTTTATATCCTCCTCGGAGACCACGTACGATGGTGTGAAGTGCCCGTGTTGTATATTCAATAACGTTGCTCTTGATTCTCGCAGATGATGATACCGTGTCTCTAAAGCTCATAAACAAAGAATACTACTACATGTACACGGGGCGAGACAAACACTGGGAGGATTTCTGGAGCACAAACGAGCACGTACCACGTGACACTAAGCGTCGTACCGCGTTCCACGCGGCGGCGTGTGTTTCCAGAACACCTCCGATTCGATACATTTCGTTTCTTGTGCATTAATAAGACAGGTAGGAAACGCCAGGAAGCCAAAGTGGAGTGGTGTAGAGGTTAGCACACCCGACCGGACATTGGGAGGCCCAGAGTTCAAATACTGGCTCCGCCAATTTTTGGCTTTCGGCGGGTTCCTGAAAACTTTGATTCTTTGATTCATTGGATTAAGTACGGTTCATTCATCTGCACATATTCGTTTATATATATATATATATATATATATGTGATACTGCTGCGCAAATCATCGAGTAGCCAAAAAACAAGACACTGCTTTATCCTGGTCTAGATGTCATAAATGTGCCACCAAGTATAAAATTATATTAGAGCAGCAGAAGCGTATATTCCACCAGGATACCCTTCCATCTAAGCTACTAAACAACCCGCGCCAACTTTGGAATGTTGTAAATCATGCACCATACTCCCCACTAGGGCTTATTGATGATTCTGAGAACATTATCGGAGATCAATCTGTGTGCCACAGTTCTCAATCATTTATTTTCCTCCCAATTCACCGCCTGCCATCCCTTAACACTGTCCTCACCTATTACTAGCAATGTTTTACCTATGAATCCAATTTGTACTGATTACCGAGGTATTGTTAGTACCACCAAGTCATTGATTATGTCCTCTTCTATGTGGTGTCCAGGGCATAAATTCTAAGGTCTTACAAAGCACTAAATATTCCTCAAGCCTATTTCTAACAAAATATTTTCAGCAATCATTAGATACGGCGGCGGTTCCTGAGGATTGGAGAATCGGCAAGGTCATCCCGGTCCACAAAGGCGGTGATAGATCTTCTCATATAAACTATAGGCCAATATCTCTAACTTCTGTACCTTCTAAAATACTCGTGCACGTAATCCACAAGCAACTATCTATTCACCTTGATTCTATCTCCTTCTTTGACAAAGCGCAGCACAGCTTGCGTCGAAACTACTCCTGCGAAACCCAACTTCTCTGCTTCACCAGCGACCTGTTCGTAAACCTTGATTCTAACTACCCCACTGACGCTCTATTTCTCGACTTCGCTAAAGCATTTGACAAAGTTCCGTATAACAAACTGCTTCTAAAACTATCTTCATTAAACCTCGATAATAACGTTCTCTCCTGGATTGAATCTTTTTTCTCTCAGCGTCATCAGTTTGTTTATGTTAATGATTGTTCATCTGCTTTTTCCCCCGTAACATCTGGCTTGCCTCAGGGAACGGTGCTTTGTCCGCTACTTTTAATAATCTACATCAACGATCTTCCTCTTCCGATATCTTCACTCATGTGCCTATTTGCCGACGACTGTCTTTTACCGAAAAATAGCATCCCCTCATGACTCTTTAACCCTACAAAATGACCACGACCTAGTTTAGAGCTGGTGTACTAACTGGCTTCATGCTTAACGTCAGCAAATGTAAATGCATGCGGTTCTCTTGTTCCTCTTTCAAACCTCTCTTGTTCATTTCCTCAGTGGCATCCCTCTTCAACCCACGGATATGTATAAATACCTCGGCGTTCTTCGAACTTCAAACCTATCCTGGGAAAACCATGTTAATTCAGTTGTGAGTTCCGGTAACAAAAGCTTAGGTTTCCTTCGTCGCAATTTCAGGTCCGCCCCTTCTCAACTAAAACGGCTCCTCTATCTTGCCCTAGTCCGGTCTAAACTAGAATTCGCATCTTCAATCTGGCACCCTCATCATGCTACATTAACAGACTACATTGAATATGTTCAAAGCAGTGCTGCGCGTTTTATTCAGTCTGATTACTTCAGTTTTTCCAGTGTCTCCCTCATTAAATAAAATCTCTCTCCCATTGCTTTTCGCCCGTCGAAAAATATTCTGTCTTTGCTTTCTGCATAAAGTTTTTTTTTTCACCATTTCTAAATCAGTCTCTTCTTTCCCCACCGGCTTATCTTTCCTCCAGACTCGATCACTGCCATAAAATGGCCCGGCCAAAGTGTTTTTCCACAGCACATCAGCACACCTCTCTTCCTGATGGAATTGTGGACTGGGATGACCTTCCCGAAGACATCGTCACCATTCAGGACCCCATCAGATTCGGAGAAGCAGTATCAAACATTGTACTTAACACCCACTCCCCTCTCTAGCGCCGCATGGCCCTGAGGGTATTGTAAATCAATACATAAATAAATGAATAAATAAATAAATGTCAAATTGTAGAGCCAGTTGAGAAAGATATAATTGTGCCGTTTCCTTTAAGGTAGCCTTTCTGTGACTAAATATTTAGAAAATTGAAAAAAAAAAACGCAAAAAAAAGATTACGTGACTACCCGCTAGTGAACTGCGATGCTAGCGGCCTTAGTCACGTGGAACATTTTTAAATCGCGCGTTGGTTCTTATAGATTAAAAGATTTACACATATGGAGGCAACTTCGATGGAAACGACATGATTGGACTTTTCTCATTATCCTCTGTAAACTTGTTTGAAGCTTTTACTCACAAAAATAATATTTGAGAAGTAAGCGAAATAATGTGTTTGTTAATGCGCCAGTTGCCAATCGCAAAACAAAAATGTCCCGACTTGCTCAATAAAATTGTGAAGAGCATGAGCTGGCTCAACAAGCGCAGAGTACGGCAGCTTATTTGAAATCCTTGCACAAGTTAAACCGGAAACACTCTGTATACGTATAGTCCTTCCTACTTGGCACATGATTTGAGTGCGATAGATACATTACAAAAGAAAAAAAAAGGATTATTATAGTAGCGCTCCCTGTCATAAATAAATATAAAAAATTACATTTCCTAGTTCGTTAGTTTTATATAGACTTATCTGCCAAACATGCGAAGGGCAAGCAAACAATAAAACCAAATTAAATTTGAATCGCTTTGTCTGATGCCGTTTTGGTGAAGCTCAACTTGTAGATATAAAATTCTTTCAAAACATAAGAGTTAAAAAAAATTGAGTGCTATATCTAGACGGGCATCTGGTCAACATCATAATTCAGCACAAATTTTCTGAAATTGGCGCTAGAATTATGACACGGGAACACAAAGATTTCCTCTCTAGGTAATGTCTATCAAATAGTTTTTTAAGCGTACTCGTTGAGTGCATAATTCGGCGATAAATTTGTGTTTGATAAAACCTAGCGAATCTGTATTAAAAAAAAAAAGACAAAACAAATGTATTTGCTGGATCTGTCTCCAACTGGAAATGTTTTTGTTTTTTACAGATACCATGTTTGAAGACGAAAGTATGTATTTCAACCTTATGTTTCTTTCCAAAAAAAGTGGTTCATGATTTAGTGGCATGCCTGCAAGAGGCCGAATGCTGCATTGAGCCCCCCCCCCCCCCCCCCCCCCCCCCCCCCAAATCCGGGTTCATATTTTTGCAAGCGTATTCGTTAGTTTACATAATTCTTTTTGAAGTCAGAAAAAAAGAACCTCGTCTCTGATTTCAAAATTCTTTATTTTTACAGTTTTTTAAACCTAATTCCCTATGCCAACTAACCCTAATTTACTGGAAGTCACGCGTTACTATTTGTCTTTAATTTAACATATATATATTTTTTGATTTGGCTGATTCGACTGTCCAATTTTTGTTTTCAATTTGGGCCCTAAATTATTTTCTTAAAGTTTCTGGCATTTGTATTGTACCTTATTTTAGTTCCGTCACGCGTCATGTTAGGGGAATGTCTTAGCATGTGTTACTCGAATTAGTAGCGTTTGCCTTATGCTATCAAATTTCTAATGCCTAAGCAAGGGCCAAGGAAAGTTCCCGGAGTGAAGAATTCTCTATTCGTTCTCTTAAAGGCTGACGACCAGACCCGAGATTCTGCAAGGCAGAAGATCCTTCTCGTCATGAAGGAGGAGGAAACAGGCAACGGTGGACAGGGTAGAAAGGGGAGAGGAGAAAGCGGGGGAAATGTGGGAAGCGCGAACTGGTTGTCGGTCTTTAAGCAACAATCTATCTTACTAGTCGCGCGCAGTACCCTGGAAGTCACGGAAAAAATAAAAGTGAAAGCCGCTTTTGTAAAAAGAAAATTGAGCGGCGGGTTCATCTCTTTGAGAGAGAAAAGCGACGTGGTTGTACACAAAAGAACGGCCGGGTAAGAGGGAAGTTCCTCCTTCCCCTCCTCTGCAACTTCTTACGTTATACTCTCACCTCTGCACCTTTGGTAAAGCCGCGCGCAGCTTGTGAGATAGACTGGAGACGTAAAACACCAGAACAATAAACCTTCAGGGCGCGGTACAAGAGAGAGGAGGAGCCGCGGTCGAGAAGATGTTCTTCTGAAGGCAGCGTCACTCAGGATTGCTAACTGGCGTATGAAGAACCACCCCATTCTGTATTTTAAAGGAAAAGAAAAGGAAAAAAAAAAAAAAAAAAACACTTCCACTATAATTTTTTTAAATACTTTAACAAGGAATACAATTTACCCATAGAAAGTTTAATGGCCTTGGCGCCGGCAGCTTTACTGTAGTTATAACGGCTGGACGAACGCAGACTCAGGGTTCTCAGCATTAAATTGAGAGGGGTGGGTGCCACCATCTTTGGCGAAGACAGCCTTCGAGACAGCAAGGACAGCCGTTTCTGCTGTCTTGGCGGATCCGGTATCTTGGTGCGTGGGCTGCGCATGCGCATGCGATGCGAACGCGTTCGCTCGGACCAGTGGCGGATTCAGAGGAGGGGTCAGGATGACATAACCGCCCTTCTTGAACTCTGCATTTGTTAAAATTTAGGGCTTGGAAACAGGGGCAGGGAGGGGGGGGGGGGGTAGGTCCTAAACATATGATACGCTGACGAACACCTCTAGAAATACCTGCATCCGCCCCTGGCTCGGACGCAATCGGTCCTGTAGGCGCACTGCCTTCGCCAAGGAGCGGAAATGAATGTCATCTCGTAAAAGAGTATTTGGTTGCTCTCTGTGGCTTACCCCCCACTTGCAGTGGGTGTAGGTGCATGACTGAGGATGCGCAGAGGGACTGGGAAAGTAGGGTAAGTTGTAGACGGGGAAAAATGACGCTCAAGCAATACATATAAAAAAAGGAAAAATTAGTTTCGGAAAGCGCCCGCGGGTTTGTGAGGGTGCCACCGCTCGTAGCATTTTTCTGTGACGTGTTGTCGTCCTCTCTCTCCCTGTTTGGTGGCCGGTTTTGGCGCGGAAGACGCAGGCTTTCCCCCTCTATGGGAGGCTATGGTGCGGCTAATTTGCTCTGTCTGATTTCAGTTGACATAATGGCGTGAAAAATATCCAAAGACCTATTTAAGGTGAAATTGGAGAGATTTTGTATTTGGTGCCATTCACTTAAATCTTCTTTATTTGGTCTCTAGGATCATTATATTGTAATTTTTTTCACTTTGGTGCACGGAGGCTGTAAAAAATAATTTTCGAAGTGCCGCTGTTGCCCCTCCTTCCCGGATCGTGACGTCATATTAAGAGTTTTTGGAATCTCCGCATTCGCGAATCTTCAGCGCTTCTCAAAACCATGCACGCAATTTTTGCTATATTCAAAAAAAGGTTAAAAAAAGGACTTCAGGACTGGTATCAGTGCTAGGGAATATACCTGGCAAGCATGCAATAGGAAGTATTCACTGGACGCCATAGTTAAGGGCAATGTTTAGAGCGCATGCTCACAACGAGCTCACATTAATAGGCTGCTAAGGCCAGCAATCTTGATGGTGTGGAATGCGCGTGGCAAAAAAGAGAAGAAAGGGTAAAAGCACAGGCGAGCTGGTGAAGAACTTCCATCATAAACCGGAGACACGAAAAAATAAAAAAAAAAAACGGACAAAACAACAACAAGTCTCAACAGAGACTTGAGACTTGTAGTTTGTTGAGGCTTGTTGTTGTTTTGTCCGTTTTTTATTTTTCCGTGTCTCCGGTTTATGATGGACGTGGCAAAACAACTGTGGAAGCTCGCCGACAGCTCGCGCTCAGCAGTCGTGCACACAGCTATGGCCGCCAGTGAATACTCCCTATAGACCGATCTCAAGAGCCGGTTTGACTACGCTACCGCTGCCGGAAAGCATCGATGGAACTTTCGTCGTTATTCAGGTGCGACAACCTCTCTGGAACTCTGCGGGTGTAGAGCACGAGAAGGCACGAACCCTCGCTCGCACGGCGGTGTGCCTTCCGGGGAACTAAAGTTATGGCGAGGACACGCATGTGCCGAACACCTAGTGAGATCGGTCTATTGCACTCACTGCCCACACGAGCGACACGCGCTTGGCGGCCGAAAAATCTGCGTATGAAGTAACAACTGGTCGGACGTTTTTCGTGTTCTCTCATGGTTAGTCACATCTACGGGGAAAACGAACGTTATATTCAAATTCACGGGATAAAAATTCTCTAAAATTCACCTCTAACTTTTTTTTTAAGAGCCTCTTCGGCTTCTTTTTAAAAACATTACATAGGTTCTCTCAACAAACAGCAGGTTAACGGTCATTCGGAATGTGACACATGTGTTTGTTTTTGCTGCCTCATTGTTTACTACCGTAGTGATTGGGACAGATTTGCAAGCGTGAAGGGCAAAAAATGAATGCCAGTCAACCATTTTAATGCCACATAATATTGACATAAATATTAGAATTTATATGGAAAGAAAAGAAAAAAAAGAAATAAGGAAGCACTTTTAAAGTTGCATAAAAACTCACCCTTTAGAGTTCGCTTATACAACTCATTTACTGTAAACGTTTATCGGTAGTGAGGTGGCAGTTGAGATTCACAGGTGGGCTCGGAACTCGAAGACTTCACGGTGGCGTCATCAGCTTGGGGGGGATTTGAGACGCGTAGTTGCAGGCCTTCAAAACTACCGATGGGCCTCGTTGAAACCCTCGTGGTCCAGAACCGTTTTACATATTCGTTTTGGTTCTTTACAGTATACGACTTTCTTTTCTCCACTGAACCGCCTGTCTTCTTCCAGGTTTTTTTTGGTCTTGTTTGTTGTAGCTGCCAGGGGAATAGTCAGATTATTATATTCACTCTCCGCTTCACAAAGTTAGTTCGGAAAACGACTTTTGTGGTACGGAAATTCAGATGGTTCAGATATCAGGCACACAGGGCATTTTAAGACATCAATAATATAACTTCGTCGTCGAGAAGAACAGCATGTACATGCACTACTGCTTCATCACTCTGGTGCTCAAGTACCATTTCACTATATGCAAATGCAAAAAGAGCATTCAGGAAAAAGTAATGATGCGACACCCATAATATTCATGTAATCGTCGTGAATATTTAACGCGTTTGATATATTCTACAGTGAGATTTTATGCCGTGAGTGCTAAGCTCCATTGCACAACTCGGCTGTTAGGAGCTTTGTGAAAACATGGCGGCAAGTCAGAAAAACGCCCAACGTGGTCCAAGTTTGGAAATCCTAGGCGTCTAACTTGGGGATAATAGCGTTTTGCTCCAAAACGCTAGTTAGGGCCGAATAACTTTTTTTTTTTTTTTTTTTTTACGTTTATACTTAGTTTTTTTTCTGGTTCGCCAAATAAGTGCCAATGTGCGAGACACGAGCCAAAAATGCCACGTATGAACCGAACAACCAGCAGTGAAGCCTTACTCTATACTTTAATCGAGCTTCGCTGGTCTGCCATGCACGCGCGCTCGTGAGATGAAGGCGCAGTTCAAGACAGCGAATTCGTGCTTGCAGCACCGGCTTCGCTTGGAGCTAAGCTGAAATGTAGTACAGAACTTGCTCGGAAATTTAGGCACAATGTTGCCACGTATCAGCCGAACAACCAGCAGTGAAGCTTAATTCTGACACCTATTTGTCAATTTAGGGCCATGTACTTCGACTAGCCAAAAAACATCGAGTTTGGTTGGACTATTTAGAGCCCAGCTCATAGGCGCCCGTTTCCGTGTTTCGCGGCGTCGGCGTCGGCGTAACCGCGCTAAATTTAGCGGAAAAATTGACGTCACGTGACCTCAACACGAATTCAACTCCCCGCTAGATTTAACGGGGAATTCAGTTTCTCCGCTAGATTTAGATGAAGAATGGACGTCACGTGACCCCCAACACCAATTCAATTCCCCGCTACGTGACCTCAACACAATTTGAATTCCCTGCTAAATTTAGCGGGACATTGAATTCGTGTTGAGGTCACGTAGGGGGGATCGAATTGTTGTTCACGTCACGCGAAGTCAATTTTCCCACCAAATCTAGCGGATAAACTGAATTTGACCGCTAAATCTAGCGGAGAAACTGAATTTTTTCATAGGTTACGGGACGCCAATTCATGCTACGTCATTTTCCCCGCTAAATCTACCGGGGAAAGTGAATAGGAGGCAGAGCGGAGACGAGGGGATGAAGGAGGCGGAAAATGAGGGGAGGAGGAGTGGGCAGGGAGGAGGAGGAGGTACACACCCACCCTTGCGTACCCTCCCCTCCTGTTCCTCGAGAGCTGCGCTCTATTTTCGCGTTACAGAGATTTGTAAACGTCTTCCATACTTTTTGCGCTTTCAGTGACCCAAAGTCTCAAAAATGTCAACATAATAAGCCAAGCCCCGATTTTCTTTTGCTATCAGTGACCGTCGCTTCCAGTAATAACTGTCGTATATACTGCAATTGTGACGCGACCCATAATCCATACACTAAGAAGTTAGCGAACATTTAGTTAATTCCTCGTGATTGTGTTAGTGAACTTTCTATCTTATGTTCGTAGAGCCAAAAAAAAAAAAGCGAATAGCAATTACGGCCACCGCGCGTGGCAGTACACCGCCATATTTTCTTTTAAATGTTTCCAATCAAAGAAAATTAAGAATCGCGCTTTACATAGGGTATTTCAGTTTTTCGGCTAACTCACTCTAAGAGTGACTCGACAAACGTTGTAAAGGCTGGCACAATATATTGCGGCACGGTACGCGTGTTTAACTATCACGACATTCTTCACCCTCCTGCCGACACAGTCCATCTTTTTTGTGTGTGTGTGTGGTGTGCCTGTCTACTTAACCTAGTTTAATGAGCAAATCTTTAATCTCTTAATTTATGTGCAAACACCCGAATACAAAAAAGAAATATGTATTTCGTTTCGAGAAATATCCTATCGGCGCCTTTTTCATCAAGTCAGCTTTTGTGTGTAAGTTGTGTTTAGCTTTAGAAAAATGTGCGCGCGATAAAAAGTTAGTTTTCACGTGGCTACCCGCCAGCGAATTGTGATGTATCGTGCTAGTGTCCCTGGTCAGATCGAAGATGTTCGACACAGAAAGGCTACGTCGCTCGAATCAACACGATCAGATGCTGTCCTCAACACTCTGTAGTACTTTTGCAACCGGAGTTTACGCCGAAACGTAGTATTATAATAGTTTTCGAATTAATTTGTGTTATGTAAGCAGTCTGTCCAATAACAAAAAAAGAAAAAGAAATCTTGACTTGTGAAATTGAACCGTGAACAATGGTGCGTTGGTTCGGCATACGGAGCAGCGTCCACCAGCTCTTTTTAATTCTAGGCCTAAGTTATAGCCTGTATCTCAGATTTGATGTAACGAACTGAGCACTACCCGACCCATGTTTGAATAGGTTGTATCTCGTTTCAGATAATGTCACTACATTAAATCAACGAACGGCAGAAGAAATGCACGATATTGAAGAGTCCACCCATTACGTGGGACTATGGGGGCAGTATGTATACAGAATAATTTTTAATCACGCCAACTGGTGGTGGTACGCCCACGCAATGAGAAAATATCTCAACAAGACCGACATCGTCCAGTGGTATGACGGTTTTGCCATCCTCAACAATTACCTGAGGGATGAATTGGCAGATGAGATCTACGGCAGGTTTAACCTAAATACAAAGGTGAGCTCATTAAGCTACACTTTTCTGTTTGCCTTTCCCTTCATGATTTTTTATTCCTTCCTCTTGTGCACGTAAGGGAAGATATAGGATTGTTTTGGTGGAGAACATTATTATTATTATTATTATTATTATTATTATTTATTTTATATAAGCGACTTCCATGCGACAATTGGTTATAGAGTTTATAGGATACCCGGTGGTACATCAGCCTTAACAATTCTTGGTAATCAGTCTAAATAATAATTTAAAAAAAACACAGTAGAGCTCTTCAATATTCTGTCACTCGGTCTGTACACCGTTCAATATTACATTTTCAAACCAAAGGAGCAATCTTGAATGTATATATTGCAAACACTACAGTGTTATATGTAATATATGGTTGTGAGTCTCGTATTGGATGAAACCCAAGAATCTCTTTATTTGTTTTAGCCTGCTTTATAATAACAGTTCGACTGGGGCTAAAAGCTGTCATATTGTAATATTTTATTTTGCTGGTTATCAATCAATCAATCAATCAATCAATGCTTATTTTTCTCTTGTGCTAAGCAGCAGCTCGAAATCTTACTGGGTTAAGCACACACAATTGAAAGACACATAAAATACAGAGTAAACAAAATAAAGAGCTGTGGAAAAAAAAAAAGGTAGCATGTCAGTCGGACTAACAACTGGCGAATATTCAATTGTTTTATTCGGCCATACAAAATTCCTATCACTGCAGCAAATCTGAGGCAAATAAAAAGCATTTAATTAAGAAAATATGTTCAGATCCCCAAAGCTCTAACTTTCGAAAAATATTATTCCTGAGCCAAATATAGCCTTTGATGTCAGTGATGCTTATAATTCCCTATCAATAACATTTCCAACAATACTTGTATTTGGGCTTGCTGGTTTGTCATTCTGAGGTATACTGCGCTGCGAAGTTACACTTAACTCATAAAGGCTAAACTATGAAATGATATGAAAGACAGCTAACAGGATGACGTACTTGTGGAAGCGCAAACTAGCAAGTGTTTATTTTTCGTTTCTTCTTCCTTGTTTTAAAAGATGAAGATTGCTTAATAATTCACAGAATTGAAAATTCATGTCTTTGCGGGCAAGTGTAGACCAGGTATTTTAGGGGACAGATATATGCTGAAGTTTAGATGACGGACATGTACCTGAGAAATTGTGGAAAGGACTGGGACGACTAATGTATCTTCTGTCATTTGTGGACAGTTGGTGTTGCTGCTATTTGTGTTTATCCTGTTGCCACACTGGAGCTGATGTTCACCCTGTTGTGCTGCGGGATCTTTCTAAGCAGTTCTATTTCTTTTTGTTCTAAAGCTATTGAGGGTTCACTGATGCACGTGTCATGACTTTCGGAAGCCATGTCGAAAGCTTTCATGATTTCGCGCTTGGTTTTGTCTTGTAATCTATCTAAGAGGGTTTTGGTTCCAAGGAGAGCTTCTCAGCTGCTCTTGCACAGTGTGCTGCGAGGTTAGCATATGCCTGCAGCTGCACGAAAGCGTATTTGTGCTCTCTTAGTCTGTCATTTATACGTCTCCCCGTTTGTCTTATGTATGATCTTCCACACGTCAGTGGTATCTTGTATACAACTCCTTCAGTGCAGTCAACGAACTTGTGGTTGTGTTTCACCTTACACGATGCTTGACCTTTGTGTTGTTTTCCGGTTCATTCACCTTCTTGCATAAACCTTCTAGTTTAAAAGGGACAGATTAGGCCACTCTTACTTCATGCTTTTCTGTTATCTTTTTCATCACATGGAAAACATTGTAGATCTATGGCAGCACAACCGCTGTTTGTTTTGTCAGTAGTCTTCTCCTAGGTTTTACCTGTGCCTGTGAGTGTGTTTATGCCTTTTTTTGCTATGGCCACCATTAGTGGTTCTGAATGACCGCTTGCTTGCAGTCGGCTTCTCTGTATTTGTAGGCTATCTGGAACTCTGTGGAAACACGATTTTATGATGGCTTGAAGACACATCCTGAGGCGACGCTCCTCTTTACTTATGTTGAGTATCCTGAGTCGTACGGCAGTATACCCTTTTCCCCTCTCGTCTTATACATCCAGCACGTGTCTCTTTCCCTGAATGGCATGTTGATATCCAAAAATTGTAAGCTGCCTCTATCCGGTAAATCGAATGTGAATTCCAGTTTTCTGTGTACGTCCTTGAACTTCTCCATGATTTTTGTGCACATCTCCTTTGTCATTTTGTTCATCGGAAAGCATACGAAAAAATCATCTACGTATCTGAAACACCTCACTACTCCATTCTCCTGGAAAAACAACTGATGTAATGTCTTATTGCCTCGTGCGAGGTATATGTCGGATAATGCTGGTGCTCTGCATGAACGTATGCCTATGCCTTCTCTCTGTTAGTGTACTTTCCCGTCTAGCATGACGTGTAGGGAGCATAAATAGGTTCGTAGTTTCGTATGCGACGCATGAAATCCTTTGTGCCAATCCCACTGTGATTTTGAAACTTTAATGTACCGTATGTGTCGATGCATTCTTCCACTTCCTCTAGTGCTTCTTCTTGTGGGATTTTGTAATATATGTCTTTTACGTCCACTGAAAAGGCGGTGATGGGCTGTATTACTTTAAAAAATTTGATCACGTCTTCTGAGTTGCGTACTAAGAACGGATCGTATACTTGGAGATGTAAGAGGTGTTTCTGCAGTTCCTTAGCGATCACAAGCTGCCAGGCTCTTTATTCTTCCACTATCACACTGAATGGGCTGTCTTCCTTGTGCGTCTTTACCGTAAATAATGGATTTGAACATGGTTCCTGGCTTTCTTTAACTTTTTTTTGCGATTGAGTTGAAGACTAATTTTTCACCCTGTCGTGCTACTTGTCCTCTTCCGTTTTTCCTACTTCTTTCGTTCATGTCCTTCCGTACCTTGAACTTTTTTTCCAGGGATTCTTGCGCTTTAATTTCGTACGTCCCTCGTTCCAAGATGACAAATTCTCCTGCCTTGTCAGCCAGCAGGAGGCGGCAGTTGTTTCTTCTGAGCCGTAGTAACGTGTTGTTGGTGTTCAAGCCTGCTTGCCCGGCAATTTCTCGTCTGTCGGAAACCTCCTGCATGCCCTCATCTAAGCACTCCTCTCTCGCTCTCTCCTTCCGGAACTTTCCTTGCAACGTCACGTGCCATGTTTGCCTTCGGCTGTACTGTGTAATTGGGACCCTACCCTAATGTCTCGGAGGTCACTTTTGGAATTGTCAGGTTGATCATATTGATTATCCTTTCATTTCCGTTATTCGTCCTTTTTTCCTTTCTCAGCATATGGTTGAAACATGACTTCCACTGACTGTCACCCTAATTTTCCGCTATATTCAGAAAGTATTTGTACATCATCTTGGCCTGTGCTGGCTTAACAGATGAGTCGCAGATACTCCTGATGTTGAGCTTGAAAAAACCTACTGGTAAACTCTTGCAGCACCTCCTTACTGTTGCCTCTTCTGGTGCCATCCTTCCAAACAGGTAAATTAGAACAGGCGCTGACGCCCCGTGGGTTAGGGCGTATGTCAGAATGCGTGTCCTACATTTTGCCCCCTCGATATATCTGATGAAAACATGAAATGCGTTGAAAAGCTTGTGATGGAAGAACATGTAAGCCCGATGCACTCGAAATGAAGACTAACAATGCTTGGATTTAAGCTAGTTGGTTTTTCAGTCTGAGGTATAGTGCGTTGCGAAGTTACACTTAACACATAGAGACGTAAACTATGAGATAACATGAAAGAGGGTTAAGAACATAACGTAGTTGTGAAAGTGAAGACTAACAAATGTTTATTTTTCGTTTCTTCTTCTTCCTTCTTCATACCTTTGTTTTGAAGGATGAAGATTGCCTGATAATTCACGGAATCGAAAAAAATGTCTTTGCGGGCAAGTATAGACAAGGTGTTTTAGGGGACAGATATATGCTGGCGTTTAGATGACGCGTATGTACCTGAGAAATCGTGGAAAGGACCGGGACGATTAATTACTTTTCTGTCATTTACAGACAGTTGGTGTTGCTGGTGTTTGTGTTTATGCTGCTACCACCCTGGAGCTGATGTTCGCCCTGTTGTGCAGCCGGATCTTTTTAAGCAGTTATATTTTTTTAGCTATTGAGGGTTCACTGACGCACGTATGCTGTTGCCAAGCTGTAGCTTATGTTCTCCCTGTTGTGCAGCGGGATCTTTTTAAGCAGTACTATTCTTTTTGACTGTTTGGTATGATTTTTTAATGCTTTAATAGATGATTTTTTTGGTATGCTTTCTGATGTACAAAATGACCAAGGAGATGTGCGGAAAATTCATAGAGAAGTTAAGAGAACTACAGAGAGGACTGGAATTCACATTCGAATTACCGCATAGAGGCAGCCTACAGTTTCTGGATATCAAAATGACATTCGGGGAAAGGCACACGTGCTGGATGTATGAGACGAGGGGGAAAAGGGAATGCTGCCGTTCGACTCGGGATACTCAAAGATAGTAAAGAGGAGTGTCGCCTCAGGATATGTCTGCAAGCCATAAGAAAATCGTGTTTTTACAGAGTGTCGGATGGTCTACAAATACATATAAGCCGACTATAAGCGAGCGGTCATCCAGAACCGATAATGGTGGCCATAGCAGAAAAATTTATAAACACACAAAGCAAAAGTAAAACCAATGAGATGACTACTGACAAAAAAAAACAACAAAAAAACCAGTGGTTGTGCTGCCATACATCCACAATTTTTCGCATAGGATAAAAAAGATCGCCGGAAAACATGAGGTAAGAGTGGCCTTATTGGCCCCTGTTAAACTAAAAGGTTTATGTAAGAAGGTGAATGAACCGGAAAACAACACAAAAGGTCAAGCATCGTGTAAGGTGAAACACAAACACAAGTTCGTTGGCTGCACTGAAGGAGTTGTATACAAGATACCACTGACGTGTGGAAGATCATACTGCTACGCTCGTCGGGGAGCGACCGCGTGCGTGGCCGAGTGGTTACCGTGCTTGACTGCCGCGCGGAA